CCATTGTCCTAGTGTAGGCCTTACCTACCACTATCTCTAAAATACCGGATACCCCCAAAATTGTCCTGAACTGTGCCTTTAAACATGTCCGACTAGAGATGAATTACAGCTACAAAGGAGCCATTTTTTCTCTAGATTGTAATAAGAAGTACCGGTTAAGCATGCTCTATTCTCCAACTATTTTAGCTGATTATGAGATGTAGTCGGTTGTTGATAAAATCTAATTTATTAGATGAAACAAAATCCGTATAATGCTGTCAAATGTACAAACAATCAACACATAATTGCACTCACTCATGAGAATAACTCTCTACAACACAAAGAAAACGGAAAATGTTATGGCAGTGTGAGAAAAGGAATCAAATATGAAACTGTCTCGCCATTTCGCTGCAAACAGTTCCGACTTAGAGGTGTTTTTGGCATTCGGCAATGTATTCGGCTCTCTTATCACATGTCAAGTGCGGGTAGTAATTCTCGATGAAGGCACAATGCTCTGAATAAATTGGCATTCAAAATGAATGGAAGTTGCCATAAGAGGCCAACGTCCGTGAGTGGAAAACAACATGAACAACATCCGTTCAAAAAAAAAAGGTTACCTTGTGCGAATTCCTCGATATTGGTGGTACCGAATTGCCTTGCAAACGTCCGGATATTCAAACAATGCTGTCGAAGCGGAGATGAGTTGGCCGCAGTACTTCTGGCAGCCTGTGAGACCATAAGGGTTTAGTTAATTCCACACTACATATTTCAAAGCGAGTGTGGCCTACCTTCCTTCTTCGGCTCCTTCTGACCTTCTTCACTCTCCGAGAACGAGTTGTTGATTTTCGCTTTCTATGTTCGGCACCCTCATCATCTGTCCATCTGGATGACTCGCTTTTGATTTTGTTCAGACGTAGAATCTTCCGTTTTAAGGTCGTGGCGGTAGTAGTCTCCTGAAAGCAGCACTTCTCAGGGCTCGTGGGTAAAGGGTGTAAACCAAACTACCGCTTCATCGTCCTGCCGCTGCAACTCCTTTCTTGATCTCGATGTGGTGCCATCTCTTTCGTCATCTTCCATCCTTACTCTTAAATAGGGACTTTTCTAAGATCCTTTTTAAGTAATCAACTCCCTTACTGAACCTTATTTTTCGCAGTTTCGTGGTCTTCTGGCTCCTTCGCCTCTTCTTTGGTGGTTCTGTAATTTCTTCTACTTCCGCATCTTCTCTTTCCTCAATACTCTGTAGATTTTTCGGCTCTTCTTCATCATCAGGCTCGAACTAAAATTGTAGCATTTTTAGCGATTATTGCTCCCTCTGGCAGTTCTCTCCACTCTCACCCACCCTTACCCTCTTCCATGTCTTGGAGGCGTGCGCGCGCTCATGCCTTCTTGGAGTGGCTGGTGACATGCTTGGTACTCGGTGTAGGTACTGCTGAAGAAAATCTACAGTTTTTTAAAACTCCAGATCTTTCTACAAGACTACGCAGAGTAGCTGCCCGTAGAACCCGCCGTAAAGAAAAGTAGCAGATGTCGATGACTATGTGGTCATGTTTACGAAAAANAAAAATATCGAATGCTCGCGGAATGTGTGGGATTGAGTCTTTCAATTTTCTTTCACAATCCTATTTCGAACCTAAGTTTTTTGCGGAGTTAGACATTCCATCCAGCTCACCCTAAGACCCTTTGCAAGGGATCGTTGGGAGGCATCCGAAATCCAGGAAAATCTTTATTCTAGTTCAGCATGATTTAAGGCGTACTCTTGAGTACGAAGGGAGATTTCTAAGTTCGAGAACATAGATGCGTTATGGATAAGACGTCCATGAACGACCTACAACTTCGAGTCAAGCTACTTCAGGATGTTACTATCCCAGATTTTCAAAATACTGTCTTCTAGGGTTTGATGAGAAGAATACAATGACGTAATCTAGCTTTTGTGTCAATTACGCAATGAAAGAACCCCAATCCCCTTCTCCACTTGACTTGGCTGATGTAGGTTATTGATCAGGCCATGTTCCACTTCAGAATCCTCAATCGAGCTGTCAGCTACCCTCCCTACCTTCTGTAGGCGTGTATTGTCCTCATAGCTAAGCTTTCGAATTACTTGCACTACATCAGTGTGTCTACAGTCAGAAGCTAACAGATGTATTCCATAGTTCTCTCACCACTAATTAATTTCCCATACTGTCTGTAGGAAAATATGTATGCGAAGAGTAGCCACAGAATCCGCTGGATTACGTTTGGCGCTTGAGTTTATGAGAAAGACCTAGGCTCTCGAATAAGTTCTACTAATTTTCATTTTCTAGGGATCAACTAGAACATCGTAGGAATTGTATGTATTGATCAAATGCTTTTCCAGGAAAGGCGAAACCGATCATCAACACTGGTGGCCCAGGTTTCCGAATATTCACTAATCATGGGGGAACGGAGTGTTCGGAATGAAAGCTGCTGCTCCAGCAGTTCTTGAATGTATCCGAAGAAGGCATTGCAAAGAATAGAGAAGTATTTCCTCTCTCAAATAAAGAGACCTTGTAAATTGCGTGGACGAGGAGCAAGAATCAAATCATTATGAGGAAACACTTTCTCCCTTGAAAGGCACAGCTACTTTTTTTGGTATTGAGATAGATATGAAGTGAAGGGCCTTCCAGTTGTCTTAAGGGCACAGTTCACGATAAAATGGTTTCTGAGATTTGCCCACAGCGTGAATTCGTGCCCCCTCGTGCACCATATCTGGCGCTATCAGGTCTTCGTAGTTGGGGTGTTATAAAGGCTTGAATGCTGTACCGTGTGTATACGTGGACGAGTTTCACCAGTATTGTAGATGCTGCACCATTCACTAAAAAACCCATGTAGGAAGTTGAAACTACTTGTCAGGACAGTGAAAGGCAATTCTGGTCAATATGAGCTTGATGTAGCCAGCTCTTCGCGCAATTGCAAAAACTGAAATCTCGTCCGTACACCCCTTCCATGTTATTCCCGTCATGGCAATCTCGTCCAATCTCTATTTTCCCTACTTCTAATGAGCCTCATTTCCCTCGAAATCGACGACTTTTCTCGCTCTCTTCACTACCGATGAACTATCTCCACTAAAAAGGGAGACTTCAGAATGATCGTGAACTGCGCCTTTAAAACAGCTTACAAATCTTGTTGCAGCGATCAGCATTTTAGAAAAATCATCCTGACGTCGCGCTGTTGCTTCCAACCTGCTCGGGAACAATAGGTCATGCTTGAAAATCCCTTTTGAGATGTCTCTCTCCAGCGCATTATCGGATATGAGCTGTCTTATTCCCAGTCGTAATGACCGTATTCAATCATTTTTTGTATCGACTGACCGCGGCGGCTATCGCGCCAGACATCCGGTAGTCAAGCGCAATCTGGTTTTCTCAACGAGAGTCTCGTCGGAGACAACGCGAAGAAACACAAGAGAAGTAACTACAGCAAACAATGAATGTATCTTGTGAGCAAATATGGGTAAACAGAAGAGAAGGGGAACGGCTGCAAGAATTGATGGGAGGCCTAACTTCAGGAACTTCTCACTGCCTTTTTACTCTACCTCGACACTCACCGTTTCAGGCATTCTTCTGATAGTTTGGAATTCATCCATAGTTGACTTCGCCGATGATGCTTCATCCTCTTCGTCGACGTACTTGGTCTTTTTCAATAATTTCTTTATCTTTTTCGACTTCCGCAACTTTCGCTTTCGCGACGATGATGATTCCGGATCGATCTCCTGAGTGATATGATAAGTGATTTTGCAAAAACTTGGCGACATTCCTTTTTATTTGGAAGACTTTCTTATCGACTCCACCACCTACCAGCCTGTGTCGTTCCAACGCTTTCTTCAGTTCTTCATCGTGCTTCAGATGACGGATCTCGGCCACATCATCCACATTCGCTTGCTCTACACGACTGTCCACTGTTTTAATGCGGAGCGGGCTTTCTTGGATAGACTGAAACAACGGGCCGTTAAGTGAGCATAGCTGGCACTCTTTTAACTGAGACTCACCTTCATCACTTGTCTCGGAGGCGCGGTAGCTTCTTCGCGGAATACTCGCGCCTGTCTTCTCTGCTCGTCACCGGATGGAAGTTTTGAAGTGTAAAGCGATTCTTTCGGCGTTGACGTGTATGGTGCAAATCTATATGTAGCTTTACATAAATTAGAGCACCTTGCCGATCACCAAAAGTTTGCCTACGTTGTAGCTCGTATGGATGGAATGGCTATCGGGTCGCTCTGAGGTAGTTGAACAGGACGTTGCTCGGCAATACCGCTCGATACCGGTCTCACGAAACGTAGAGGATAAGCCCTCCGTGTCGGCTCCGCATTAGCGTCGTTTTTTGTGAATACATCTAATGGAGGCGGGAACGTTGGAGCAGTAACGGAGTAGTCTGCTTGAACGATGCTCTGAAAGTGTCATACGGTGAGAATAGACCTCGGTAAATCGGCACCAATTTTGGTTGCGATAACAGGATCACTGAGAGCAGGGCTGAGAAATATGATCGTTGTAATCAACCTGGAAAGTTCCTAGAGTTTGAAAGGAGAAAGCCTCTTCCTCCGATACATGGATCCGGCAACCTATCCTAGTCGAAAATATGACTGGGAATAGCCAATCTTAATCCTTAACAGGGGCGGAGGTTGTGTAGTGGCGAGTGGCGAACTTCACACACACATGGTCACGGGTTCAAATCCCGGACCGAGATCTGCCTAGGCCAACCAAGCCTTCCATCCCTCCGGGGTCGGTTAATTGGTACCAGACTTGTCGGGGAGGATAAAAGCACTGATTTGCACATCGGCTGGCCACGCAAGTCACTGTATAGGCCACTATTCTAGATGAAAGCCGAATGAGTGGGCTCATCCCTCCGACGGGATCGATTAGTACGTTGTTCTTACTTCATCCTTTTTTAATCCTTAACAGCGTTTTGGCTATGAAGCGGATAGTGTGACCTTTGGATTATGGAAATCAAAGGATGAAGGACAATGTCTTTTGGCGTTTGTCAATCGTCTGAGGGATGCGCCTCCGAATTGGATTTCCATTCGGAATCGCAGGGTTATGAGTGCGTGTACGGCCTACACAATGGCTTCAAATGCTTGTGGTGAATTCTCCCAAGCGAGTCTGGTACCAAATCGTCGACCCCGGAGTGATAGAAAGCTTGATTGGCCCAGGCAGAAACTGATTCGGTGACCATGCGTGCGAGGTAATGCGCCACTTGCATTACATCTCTAATTGTCGAAATTGCGAAGTAAGGACCTGCTATTTTCGGTTCCACTAAAAACTCTTGATGGAGTTGACAAACTGTTTCTATTTCCCACTGAAGCTAAAGCAATCTATTAAAAGGACTCCTTTCCTTATCGTTAGCATCGATTACAGTAGAAGAATCAAAACAATTTTACCAAACGGGCCTAAAACAAAAAGCGTGGCTCACTTTCAAGGAGGCCTTCCCCTCCCCCCTAATCGCAATGTCCTGAGTTAGCCAGCGGACTTGTGGGAAGTAAGTGAGATAACAATCTTGGTGAAGCCGGCTACTATCACGATCTGAACTGCAGCAACGACTTGTTGATTGAGTTTTCTCGAACATTTTCGATCCAATCAAACGCCTGCAGCCCTGACCAGTTATTGCCACAATATAAGGACATGATCGGCACTCCTTTAGAAGTGGGGAACGCTTAGCCGAATTGATGAGTAGCTACACTTCGCACCTTAGGTTGTAGTGGTTGTTCCTGTAAAAATGCGGACTTCTGTGCTGACAGAGAATTAAGCGAAGACACGGCACCACTTGACATCACTTGACCAGGAACGATCAACACTTGTTGATAGTATCTAAAAGAATAAATTGTTATAAATTGACACTGTCCGTGCTATTTCAGCTGAAAGCCACATATATTGTTTATTTATTTTGTCTAAATAAACTCACGTCTTCCCATCAGGCTGCACGACCGGTTGATAGGCGTACTGTGGTTGCATGTTGGAGTGAGCCAAACTTAAATCGAGCCCTACAAGAATTTCTGAGACTTGAGAAAAACTCAGAGAGAGACCTACCCGGTGTCGCTTTCCACGATAGGCAAGGAGGCAATGGTCCGTTGAGATTCAGCTGATGAAATAGGTGAGGGTGGCAGAGGCATAGATAGAGGTGTGGTTGACAGAGGTTTATCGACTTTCGAAAGAATGCTGCAAGAAACCTCTCAATTTGATTATTTATTTGCTTCTCATCTACTGAACTTACTCTCGGATTGAAATCAAAGTCGGATCGGTCTTGTGATGCTTCTTTCTCTTTCTCGGCTTCTCCTCATCTTCTTCCTCGGAATAACCCTGAAGTACTGGATAATGTGACTGCTCAAGCATCACAATCGGATGCTAATCACTTACCCGACTCCTGTCTTCATCTTCCTCTTCTTCAGCGCTTCTATGGACTTTTCTGAAAAGGTTTTTGTTTTTAATGTCGACTGAAAACATGGAAATGTTTTATTTCTGTGAATTTCTCTCCCTTTCCAATACTGTTGGCATAATTTTGGCAGTACCGTGGAGAGTCGTGAGTTGCAATCCCAGGAACTCATACCCATAGAGAACCTTTCAACAAAATAGCTGGTTCGATCGCTGGTTTTCCCCTCCCCACCTGAGTGGTGCCTAATCAGATTAACCATGAATATCTCTCTTATACGCAACTTTCTGATTTGATTCGAAGTATTGTAAGGGGGGGGGGAGAGGCTAAGCATAACTCTTCTCATCAAAGGGAACACCAAGGAACAATTATGGAAAGCACTTATGAAAGAGATACTTCCACCATGTGGGAAGACCTGGGCATTAAGTTTTGGGTGTATTTCAATACCATTGGCAGGATCATCGCAAAAGGCATCAATACAACAAGGAATAACGAATA